AGTCACTATGAGTCTCCTGCGACTTGACGGCACTTAACAATAATAAATCAACATGGAGACAGAGATCAGCTGGCCCAGTGGACAGAAGACGATGCTACCAAACTGAAGGTGGGTGACTTTTAATCTGCGGCCGCGGGCCTGTCTTTCATTGTTTTTGTTCAGACATTCCTCTAGGTCATACAGCCGTGGTGTACAAGTTGCCGTACAGTGGTAACTTGTGGTTGCCGTGAGGCTGAACACTGTGACACTAACGTGTCACAAGCGTTAATGGTTGGCTACCCAATGCGGACAGAGAGTGGGGTGGAGCTCCCCGATTAAAACAAGCTTGGAAGGAGGAGTGGCATCTACTTCCATAATAGCTTGCTTCCAGAAACCCTATGAACCTGGAGAGAGGATGAGAGACACCCAAGCATTGAGGACTCCTTCATAGGGTCACTATGAGTCGCCTGTGACTTGAAGACACTTAACAACAACAACAACAACTACTATTATATTGTTAGGGTAGAAAGGTAACAAAGATTAAATAAACACAAATGGATTAGTTTGCTGAGGACAAAGTGATTATATTAATCCTCAGTATTATTAAGTATATATTAAAAAGCTAAAGAGAATTTTCAGATTTACATTAATGGTTTAGAAATCTGGTCTTTAAATACTATAAATACAATGTTGTCTCCTGTACAATGAATTATGCTATAATTCATCAACTCTGGGCTCTGATCCTGGTCTCAACGGAAAAAAACCTGTCGCTGTTGTAACTTATTTCAACGCAAACATGCCCCACTGAATATAAAACAAATTTAAAAAGGCTTAGCGTATTTATCACACAGAATTGTGAGTGTAAAATAATATAAAATTTACCTCCACTCAGTGTCCCATGGGGATCAAATACGTCACCTCCCAGTGTTACAGTTCTCGTCATTATCCTTTTATCAAAGGCCACTTTTTTGGCATTATCCATATTGTCACAAACTAATGTTGTTCCAAAAACAAATTCCATGGCTTTCTGAAGTTCTGGCTTATAGTCAACCAGGGAAAGAGCCACATGCACATTGTTAGGGCCAACCTGTGGAAAAACCAAGAGACATGCCAGAGGATGTACCTTTTTTTTTCTTTTCTCTCCTTCCTTCTCTCCCTCCCTCCCTCCTTCTTTCTTTCCATTACCATTTTATATTCCACTTGTTATGTGCCACCATGTCTGAACTAATAGCTAACGCTCCAGTGGGTTTTCATGGCCTGTAGTAGAAACTAGGTAAAATACTTATTTTGGGGGGATCGGGGCAGGGAGAAGATTTAAACACTGAAAGATCTATTGCTAAGTAAAATATTTAGGTCAATTTCCTGGTATTACTAGATCTTTTCTCAAAGAAGGACCAATATAATATTTAAAAATGTAAAACTAATTTTTTAGATGCAACTTCCTTAACAAGCAAATTAATTCTTATTTTTTTGTGTGTGTGTACCGTCAAATCAGATCTGACTAGTACAGGACGAGATTGTCCCTCCTCCAGCAGAGCATCTGGTGAATTCTAACTGCGTGCCTCTGGGATACACTTCTTGCCACTAGGCCACCAGAGTGCCCTCCAAGTACAATAATTACTGAATCAACTTAATTGTATAAAAACACTTTTAATTATTAGTTATTTGTTGTCCTACAGTCATTGCTTTCTTATTTAAAACAATTAGTATAGCCACTTTCTGTTTATAAAAATAAAAGTACAAAAAGTAACTCTATATAAAAAAAATAAAAATAAAACAGAGGTAAAAAATGACCCTGAGTCCTGTACTTTTATCCGATTACCTCTTTTCTTCAACTCTAGTTTGGTATGTCTAACTATGCCTACCATTTTGAGCAACTGAACATTATTTGGCAACTAAGAATTAAGATTTGAGGTTTCAACAAAATCAAGCCTAGGCTCACTGTTTTTGACCTTGCAGCTGACATTAAATATGTATGGCAAATGGAACTGAATGGAAGGACATTTGCTGTTGTCTGAAATTTCTACTAAGATTTGCCTAAAGCTGAAGTAACTTTGAGTCTTCTGCACTCAAATAATTTTTTTTCAAAGTTGAGGATGTACCAACAAAAAACACTATCATTCAACTACTCTTCATTTACTCTTTCCTCCTATATCATAAGCACAATTATTTACACTTTGAAGCAATTTCATTTAAAGCCTCTTAATTTTTTTGAAAAAGAGACTATATCTACTTTTAGGTACAAATGTTAAGTTAGTTTACATCACAGGAAGTTGTTCAACTCTGGAGAACATTATGCTGAGTGAAATGTCCCAGTCACAAAGGGACAAATATTGCATGATGCCACTGTTGTAGAATGGGACTGTCCTTGGGGTTGGGGAGAGACTGAGTAAGATGGGTTCAATAATGTATGCTGCTCTGAAACAGAGAAGG